AGTCCGCAGACCAACCAAAAATGAGTGGAAGGTTATGATCCCTGCTGAGCCCTTTCTGCTTCACTCTTCCTGCTGCACTCTTCCCTCTGCAGTTTTCCATCTGCACTTTTTCTGCTGCACCCTTCCTGCCGCATTCTTCCTGCTGCACTCTTCCGTCTGCACTATTCCTGCTGCACCCTTCCTGCTGAACCCTTGCTACCGCATTCCTTTTGCTGGACTCTCTCTGTTGCACTGTTCACCTTGCACTCTTCCTGCCTTCACCTTTCCTGCTGCACTCTTCTATCTGCACTCTTTCCGCAGCACTCTTCCTACTGAACTCTTGCCGCTACACTCCTCCTGCTACACTCTCCCTGCTCCACTCTTTCAGCTGCACTCTCCCTGCCGCACTCTTCCAACTGCACTCTCCCTGCTGCACTACTCCTGGGACTCTTTTCTTCTTGCCCTCCTCCTGCTGCACTCTTCCATCTGCACGGTTCCCGCTGCACTCTTCCTGCAGTACCTTTTCTGCTGAACTCTTTCTGCTTCTCTCTTCCTGCTTCACTTTTCCTTCTGCACTCATCCTCATGCACTCTTCACGCTGCACCCTTCCTGCCCTCACTCTTCCTGCAGCATTCTTCTATCTGCACTCTTTCCGCAGCACTCGTCCTGCTGAACTATTGCTGCTACATTCTCCCTGCTGCACTCTTTCAGCTGCACTCTTCCTGCGGCACCTTTCCTGCTGCCCTCTTCCTGATGCCCTCATCCTTCTGCAATCTTTCCACGCCACTCTTCCTGCCGAACCTTTGTTACTGCACTCTGTTTGCTGCTCTTTTCTTCTGCACTCTTTCTGCTGGACTTTTCCTGCTGTACTCGCCATGCTGCACTTTTCCTGCTGCACTCTTCCTCCTGCACTCCTACTGCTGAACTACTCCTGTTGCGGTTTTCCTTCTGTACCCTTCCTGTTGCACTCTTCCCGCCGCACAAGCGCACGGGCACGATCGCGCGCGTGCAGACGTAGAACATGAAAATAAGAACGCAAAAAGTTTCCGAAGATGCCGAGGAGAGCAGTAAAAAAAAAGTACAAATCAGTATCAGTGTCCGAGAAAGACCTCTAATGGTGTAAGGAAAAGATGAGTACGAAGGAGAGAGAAAGGGGTGTGAATATGCTAAAACGAAAAAGACGCGAGAGATACGTGAAGTGGGTGTATGAGAGTTCAAAGCAACCAAGAAGAACGGGAGGAAGAAAAGTTAGCGATAATGTCAAGCAGTGTAGAGAGAGATTAGTGTAAGGCACCAGAAACAAGTAAGGGAAACATGAAGAAGTAGCTGTCTAAGTGCGGAACAGGTGAAAAGGGGGAGTAAAGGAAACCAGAAGGAATCGGAAACCATGCTTAAAGGAGACGTGAAAAATGTTCGAGGGAATACTAAACAAGAGATAGAAGTGAAGAGACGCAAAGAGTACGTGAAGAATCCTTTAATACATCATGATGTATGCGTGTCTAATATCTGATGTCTAATGTCTGATGTCTGATGTCTAATGCCGTGACTAAAGAAAATGATGGAAGGAATGGAAAAAAAGGAAATTAAAGGAGTTAAATATATAAGATAATGAGATTTGGAAAGCCGGAAGAAGGAGAAGGAAGGTGGAGAACTAAGAAAAAAGAGAGAAGTGGCGATGGTGTGGGGAATAGAAGAGAGGAGTTTCAAAAATGACTGTTCGATGCAATGGTGAGAGGGATGCTTATGTACGAAACGGAGATGTGGAGTTGGAATGAATGGAAGAAACTGGAAGGAATAGAAAGAAGATATTATATATGGGTATCAGGGCTAAACTACTACTATAATTTACTGATGTGAGGGAAGGAAAATGTTAACATAATGGTCGGGTTCAGATGGGATAATGAGAACACAGAGGTGGAGACATGTGAAGAGGCAGTAGAGGGAATCCAGGGAAGCGGAAAGGGGGAGCAAGAGTGATGTGCTCGAACAGGGAGAAAGAGAAGAGAAGTAGGTGAGGTGGATCCCAGAGAAAAGAAAAACCGTTTTCTGGTATCCCTAAATTCCAGGAAATGATGACCATTTTGTGGCACGGCCCAGAATTGCAGTTGGATTTGGATTTTCCAAAAACACCTTACTTCTGATTCTTTATTTTCATGTTGAAGAACCTCTCCAAACACTTTGTTGTGTTTAGAACAGGACCCTTTGGCACCCCCAGAGTGCGGCAGGAATTTGGAAAACATTTTTTACAGAATTAGAGGACACACCTAAAAACCTAGACAAAAAAACAAATTCAAACAATGTCTCTGTTATATTCGCTCAGAAGAAGAGAAGAAAAGGAGCAAATCAAATTTTGTTACTTTTGGGTAGGTGAGTTCCAAACGATCTGTTCTGGATCTTCAGTTTAGTTGGAAAAAATACTTGTACAGATGTATAATTGCCCAACTTCAACGAGAAGATTCCAGGAATACTTGGTTGAAGTGTTTCCCACAATTCCACGTCCTTGGTCTCTATAGTGAGATTTGTTTACGCCACACCAGCTACGGAAATACGTACATGAGTTGATGATAAGTATTGATAGTTACTAATAATCTATATTTGTGAACGGTTAGATCGTGGAAATGTTTGTTTAGACAAGATAAAGGTAAAGGTATCAAAGATTGATTCAAGTCCAATCCCTACGATAATGAACATAGTTCTCCCGGTTATTTTAGCAGTTCTGCACTTGTGTAAAAGTGCCCGAATACTTGGCGTGATTCCAACTCCATCGTACAGTCACCAAGTCATCTTCCAACCGCTATGGAAGGAACTGTCTCTACGTGGACATCAAGTAACGGTACTCACAACGCACCCCATCAACGACCCAACCCTAACGAACCTAACCGAGATTGACCTGGGTTTCTCCGTGAAGATTTTGGAGGATAAACTTTTAGAGATCATCAATTCTAGCAGCAATGTGGCTACGGAGATAGAGCTAACTGCAAAAGTGTTTCAGGTTGTAAACGATCACCAGCTGCAGCATCCCGAAGTGAAGAGATTGATCGACGATCCAAGCGAGCACTTTGATTTATTAATCGTCGAGTTAATCATGCCGTCCATGACGTACTTCTCGCGAAGATTTCGCTGTCCTTATATAGGGGTGGTACCCTTTGAGGGTAGCAATTATCTTTTCCGATCGATCGGTCAACCGGCGCACTCGATTGTGTATCCTGAACTGTTCGCGGGATTCTATGGGGAATTGAATTTGTTGGAGCGCGTTCAGTTGATTTTTTACGACGTATTCGTATACATTCTCTCGCTAAAGGTAAGCGCCTCCGAAGAGGAGCTGGTGTGGAAGCATTTTCGGGATAAAACCCCCACGGATACCGTTCTTCAGGAGGTTAGCTTACTATTCGTGAACTCTGATCCGGTTTTTACTTACGTGCGTCCTCTACTTCCGTCCGTCATACCAATTGGAGGAACTCTAGCTAGGGTACCTGTGAAGCCTCTGGACAAGGTAGGTGGCATACTTTGAATGTGTGTAACAGCGACGAGTTTCCAGGAGTTGCTGAATTTTTTGGACGGTGCATCCAAAGGGTTCATCTATTTTAGTTTAGGCTCCAATGTTAAAGGAAAGGACTTGCCTTCTAGCACCATGAAGGTTATCCTGGAAACCTTCGGGAAGCTGCCGTTTAAAATCCTTTGGAAGTACGAGCTTGATGACCTACCGAATAAGCCGAGTAACGTTGTAATTGCACGATGGGTGTCCCAGATGGAAGTTTTAAGTACGCCTACCTCCTTAGATGTACTTAGTACTACAATCAATTGCAGAACATCGAAACATTCGGTTATTTATTACTCATGGAGGAATACACTCGATGCAAGAGGCTATCCATGCGCGAGTTCCTATGGTCGGCATGCCCTTCTTCGTCGATCAACCGTCGAACGTTAAGAGAATGGTGGCCATGGGGTTTGCTCGATACGTCGATTACCAAACGATGACAGTGGATGACTTTCAAAGCGCTGTACTAGATGTTATTCAAAATCCCAAGTAACTATGCGACACGAATTTTCTACTAACTCAGTGTCTTAGGTACAGGGATCGAATCAGGAAGTTGGCCGACTTGGGCGAGGATCAACCAACGACCGGCTTGGAACGTGCGGTCTGGTGGACCGAGTACGTTTTGCGCCACAAAGGTGCCCCGCATCTAAGAAGTCCCTACCTGGACATACCTTGGTATCAGTACTATCTTCTAGACATTTTCGCTGCTATTCTCGTCCCCACGATTCTCGCTATATTAGTCATAATCAAATTGGTCAGGCTGATTATTTGGAGTGTCAAGAGGATGTGGCGACGAAATCTTAAGTTAAAATCAAATTAGTAAATCAATTCAATTTTCTGTAGCCTTTAAAGATTAAATCACTTGACTTTGGCCCATTATAAATGGGCTCAGTTGAAATAAGGTAGATAGATAGATAATATTACTCAAACTCATTCAATACTTCAAAATTTAGCGTTTAAATTAACCAGCACTATTTAGGGGTGTACTAATTTAAAACGTCACAATGGAAACTCATTTATTTTGGACTTGCTGTCCGCTAACATCAAGCAAGAAAATTTGGAACTGTACAGAGAAAGGTTCTCTAAAATGGGTTAGTGGAAGGCACTATTTTAAAAGCATTCAGAATAACACCGAAGTTTCTAATTTGGCTCCCATAGCATTCGATATATTATGTATATACATTTTAAATCCATAATGTACAGGGAATATCTTGTGCATCTTGTGTATATACTATTGTAACGTGATTTATAAATTCGGGTTTGATTTATATCAATATTTATTAAACAAAACTAAAACACTATAAAAACTGTACAATTTATATCGACTATTTATATCACACACTTCGCAATTTATATCAGATTTTCGCGCTCAATGTTTCGTCCGTACTCGATCTCGTTCGATAGTAAAACTGCCGCGATGTTCGGTCCGCAACCATTTATACACGCAAGCAATGTAAGTCCAGAACATTCGCGTAATTACCAGATACGTGCAAACATTCCCACTATCGCGCGCCTAAAAAATTCCAGAGTGCCAAAGGCGACGTCATGTCTGGAGCGTTTCCGTTACACTGCCCCCTTCTTAATTCTGGACGTCTCGTTCAGAAACTGCGTTAGTATTACTTTTTAATGCCTCGTGTCGGAATCTGCAGTCAGAGCCTGCTCGACAAACACCTTTCTTGAAAAAGTAACAGTCCACAGTTTTGCGGAGGGTCGTCCCCTGTGGGTTGAAGCAGCATACTGTAATTCGAACGCTAGTGTTTCTAAAAATCACTTCGATCATGGTTCGCACTATCTTCCAGTCCAACCCATCTAAACCACATCCAATCTTCGGGATCGCCAAGCTATTTATGTCATAGTATGCCATGAGTTTCTTTAAGCTTTTTAAAGCAGACCAGAGGTTTTCATAGGGGGGTTTGCCTTCTGACGTTTTCTTTGAAACCAAGTAGAACAAAGAGCGTTGACTATCTTCCAAGCGCAGTACTTTACCCACTCGTGGTCTTTGCTTTATCAACTTGTCTATTCTTCCAAATCTTTTCCGGAATACGGAAGCTATACCTCTACCCATGCGAAGGTCTTCGGCGACACAATGGGCGATGGAAACGTTAACCGGAAGCTCAAAAATATTTTGACAAATTTCCTGAGTAACGCCAAATCGAGCTTTCGTCCGCTGGGCGTAATTTGACATAAAATCGTTAAAGTTTGGCTCGATCCCAAAGCTGCGTTCCTCTTCTCGAATACCTCTAACTTCTTCGTTGTTGTTGGATCCGGCATATCGTGCGAGTCGATTAATGTGGACAACTTTCGGTTTCCGGTCGTTCATTCTGATACGATATATCACGTCAATTATTTTCTTGATCACCTCATACGGACCTTCCCATTGTCTTTGTAGCTTGGGAGAAAGACCTCTTCGTCTCTGTGGATTGTGCAGCCATACCAGATCTCCAGCTTCAAAAGTTTCATTGGCCGAGCGGAGGTTGTATTGATTTTTCATGCGATCGCTGGCAATCTGAATATGACTTCTAGCCAAGTCGTGAATGTCGTTCATCTTCGCCTTTAGTTGGTCAACATAATTTTCACCTGCGACATATTCTTCATGGGGTTTACGCCCAAACTCGAGATCACATGGAAGGCGTAGTTCACGACCCAACATAAGGCAGGCAGGAGTCTGACCCGTGGTCTCGTTGACGGCTGATCGATATGCCATAAGGAACAGGTGGAGGTACTGGTCCCAATTTTTCTGATGTTCTGCCACGACTTTTGAAAGATATTTACCCATCGTTCGATTCATTCTCTCCACCATTCCATCTGACTGAGGATGCAAAATTGTTGTTCTGGTTTTATTGGCTCCTACCAACCGACAAACATCTTGGAACAAAGCCGATTCAAAGTTCCTTCCTTGGTCTGAATGGATTTCTATAGGAACACCAAAACGTGTAAAGAACTCCTTTACCAACACTTCTGCAACTGTTGCTGCCTCTTGGTTTGGAATGGCGTAAGCTTCAGTCCACTTTGTGAAATAATCCATAGCGACTAGGATATATTTATTTCCGCCATCTGTCTCGGGAAACGGTCCTGCGATATCGATAGCAACTCGTTCCATCGGACTACCAACGTTATACTGCCTCATGGGTGCCTTCTTCTTGGAAACTGGTCCGTTTCCAGTAGCACATAACTCACATTTTTGACACCATCGCCGGACATCTTCTTTACGGTTGACCCAATAGAATCGCTCACGTACCCTTTGCAACGTTTTCGTAATACCAAAGTGTCCTCCGGAAGCGCCGTCATGCAATTTTCGCAATACTTCCGACACTTTGCTTCTAGGTACTACTAATTGCAGCGTCGATTCGGTGCCATCTTCACTTTCAAAGGTCCTATACAACAGGTTGTCTTTCAGAGTCAGGCTATTCCATTGGCCCCAATAACTCTTTACTTCAGGACTTGTGGCACTAATGTCTTGCCAGTCTGGTCTTTGTCCGTGGCGCATCCAATTCAGGACAGTTTTTATACTTGGGTCGTTTTCTTGGGCCGTTTTGATTTCGCTTGGCTTCCACTCCTCACTCTCTACAGTTGTTCGTCGCAGATGGCCAATCTTGTCTTCTATTTTAGAACAATGTGTGCAGTTGTCCTTGCACGGTCTTCTTGACAAAGCGTCTGCATTATTGTGAACTTTTCCAGCCCTGTGTTCAATGTCGTAGTCATATTCCTGAAGACGTTCTAACCATCTTGCCACCTGTCCTTCTGGGTTTCGGAACTGCAAGAGCCACTTTAGCGCTGCATGATCTGTCCTTATCAGGAACTTGCGGCCGTAAAGGTACTTATGGAAATGTTCGCATGCCTTTACCACACCCAGGAGCTCTCGCCTAGTCACACAATAATTCCTCTCGGGTTTCGACAGTACTTTGCTGAAATAGGCAATGACTCTTTCCTGTCCGTCTTGCAATTGAGAGAGAACAGCTCCAATGGCGGTGTTACTGGCATCGGTATCTAGCACAAACTTTCCTTCATTTCTGGGGTAGCCAAGGATAGGTGCGCTAGTAAGAGCTTGCCGGAGATGTTCGAAAGCTCTTTGACAGCCTTCACTCCATTCGTACTCATTGCCCTCTTCTGTCAACTTTATTAATGGTTTGGCAATGTTGGCAAATCCTTTCACGAATCGTCTATAATAGGTGCACAAACCGAGGAAACTTCGAATCTCGTGCTTGTTCTCAGGAATCGGCCACTCTTGAATCGCTATAATCTTCTCTGGGTCAGCTGTAACACCATCACGAGATACGATGTGCCCCAAATATTTAACTTCTTTTTGGAACATAAAGCATTTCTTGGGACTTAGTTTTAAATTGGCCTCTCGTAATCGTCCAAACACCTCTCTCAGGTTCTTTAGGTGTTCTTCAAAAGTTTTTCCTACGACAATTACATCATCCAAATATACCAGACATGTCTGCCACGTTAGTCCCCTTAGAACTGCTTCCATAAGTCTCTCAAACGTCGCGGGGGCATTACACAATCCGAAAGGCATTACTGTGAATTGCCAAAGTCCAGAGCCTATAGAAAACGCGGTCTTCTCTCGGTCTGTCGATTCCATCCCCACTTGCCAATAACCACTCTTTAGGTCGAGTGTGGAAAACCATTGGGCTCCAGATAGAGTGTCCAAGGTGTCGTCTATTCTTGGCAGTGGATAGCTATCTTTCTTGGTGACCGAATTTAACAGACGGTAGTCAACGCAAAATCTTGTGGAGCCATCCTTCTTCTTTACAAGCACTATCGGCGATGACCAAGGACTATTCGATGGCTCGATGACACCTTGTTTTCTCATGTCTCTAATAATCTCCTCAGCTTCGTCTCGTTTAGCCAATGGGAGTCGCCTTGGCTGTTGTCTAATCGGTTGGGAATTGCCAGTATTTATTTTATGGGTGACTATGCTTGTCTTGCCCTTGTCCTGGTCGTTTACCGCGAACACATCTTGGAATTCCACAAGCATATTTTTCACCTTCTGTCGTTGTCTATTGTCCAAATCTGGGGTGTTTTTAATGACCATATCTATCAGCTCTCTTGGATACTTTCCTTTAGATAGATTTTCCGATCTCACAGAGCGAATAGCCGAGATGGGCACACAATGTCCAACTACAGTTCGTTTGCTTAGCTTAACAGGACTATCTTTCAAATTCATAATTCGAATCGGAACGCCATTTTGAAATTTTACCAGAGCCCTAGCCACTAGAAATTCCTTTTTGTTTAGTGCTTCGACTATCCGTAGGCTTCCCTGGCTACAATATCCATCTAAAGTGGTCATTATAATTTTTTCACTAAGTCCGGGTATAATGACGTCATGAGTGGTTAACAGGCGGATGACATCTTCTTTGTCTTCATGGAAAGGGAGTTCTTCATCGCCGACCTTTAACACGCCCTTTTTCACGTCTAACACAGCTCCGAGTTTCTTAAGAAGATCCATCCCCAAGATGAATTGATCAGAAATATCAGCAATTAGCACCTGGTGATTGATGGTGGTCTTTCCGATGGTGACAGACATTTGTATTTCTCCGTGCGTTTTTATTCTTTCACCAGTTGCTGTTTTTAACTGCACGGTCGAAGATGAGATCCGAGAATGATTCTTCAATAACTCTAGTCTTGCAATAGTTCTTGTTGCACCTGTGTCTACTAGCAAGGATCTGTCTTCTCCATTAACTCGTTCTTGACTTGGGCATAGTAAACTTGCTGAAGGTGTTTATCGCCATATCGCATTTCGAGTCGCGCTACTATTTGTTGGAAGTTCTGTTGATCCTCGGGGATGGTCCGCAACACATCCAGAGCATCTCCTCTCAGAGCAAGAATCAGGGCTGTAGTTTTGTCTTGAAGAGTCCATTTATTTGCCGCAGCCCCTGCTTCAAACTGTCGAACGTACGTGGTCCAAGGAATCTTACCATCAAAAGTAGGTGGCTTTACTCGGGCTTGCTGAACGTCGCCTTCTACTCTTGTATTTGTTTCTGGGTCGACCTTCTTGTAATGAGTAGGCTGTGGCACCTCAAGAAGACGGTCCATCAGTAATTCATCTGGGGCACTACTAGTATGTTCTTCCGTAGTCAGTCGCAAGAATTGCTCGCGCAGCTCTTCATACTTGTGCTCAATCTCAACGAATGTTGCTTTAAATGTTTTGGAAACTTCCGTAATTCTATCTTCAACTTTTTCTTCAATTGATGTAGAGACTTCTTCGATAATCTTTCTAGAATTTTCTTCCATTTTCTCGAACTTCTCTTCAAAATTTCTAGAAT